AGACCCATATCATTTCTTCTTTGTATGTAACAAATATCAACATGCTAGAGAGGAACTATTTAGAAACCTACTGTGTCTTATTAAACCAAACACTAAATTGAATATTATTGATTGTCACCTACTTCTGTGGGGAGATGAGTCACAAAATGTTGAAATCAATAAATATATTTTTCAATCTGTACAAAAATTTATAAGAGATTCTGGAAGATTCAATTAATTATTACAGCCTTACACTAAAACTCTAGTTAGTTATATATTTATCATGTAATGAATGTATGTTTAAAACAAATATGTTTGTATATATCAATATTTTTTTTTTCTCTATATATAGACCTTGACAGTTGTATCCATTTATGGTGAGAACCTCGTAAGTTGTTAGAACTTGTGTTCAAACCATTTGTATATTATTTATACAATAAAATATGTTCAAACCAATTAAAAAAATCAGTAACGTTATTATCATAGACTATCCTTGATTTGATTTGATTATACATATTCGTAATAACATTGTACATATTTCCATTAATATTGTTTGCACACAATTTAAACCAAAGAGCTTTTCGCCATACATTATCAAATGCTTTCTCGAAGTCTATGAAAGCAAAGTTTTTTCTTATTTAGTTTCAATAATTCTGATATAATATGTATGGAAAATATATGATCAACAGTTGAATATTGTTTTCTAAAACCAGTTTGATTTTCCTGCAATATTTCATATTCGTTTGAAAAATCGTTTAATCTATCATTTAATATGGATGTAAAAAGTTTTCCAATACAGCTTAAATTTGTTATAGGTCTATAATTTTGCGGATTGTTTTTCTCTCCCTTGTTTTTATATATTGGAAGGATATTTCCTTCAAGCCAACATTCGGGTAATTTACCTGTTGAAAAAGCTAAATTAAACAATTTTTCGTAAAGTGGGAGCATAATTTGTATTGATGATTTTATATATTCATTTCTTATTTTATCCTCGCCTGAAGCTTTGTTGTTTTTTAATTTTTTTACAGCACTAAGTATTTCATCTTGCGAAATGTATTTGTTTAGATTATGATTCAATTCTTCTATTTCTAGTATTTTAATTTCATTATCTAGCATCTTTTCTATATTCTCTGGTATTTCAGGTACCTTATTTAACTCTTTGAAATAGTTAAATAATTTTTCAATATCGATTTGATCTGTATTTTTTTGTTTATTGTTTTTATTCAATATCTTCCAATATTGTCTGGGAGTTTTGAGTCGCATATTTTGTAACTTTTTACTCATTTCTTCACTATACTTATTTATTTCTCTGTCCAACACTTTTTTATAAGCCTTTTCTTTGTTTTTATAATTTTCTTTAGCATTTTGCGAACGTTTCCTGAAATAATAAACTTTGCTATTTCGGTATTTTTTTCTCGCTTTGTGACAAGCTGTAGAAAACCATGGCTTATTATTTTTTTGAATGCTTTTAGTCGTTTTATTTTTGTTCACTTTAATTACTCCTAAAGCTTGTTTAGCTGCATTAATATAATTTTTATTTAGTTCATTTACAATATTGTTGACAATTTTCTCTGGGTTTTCACTGGAATTTATTGCTTGGTCTATGTCTGATATCTTTTCTTCGACGCGATTTTTGTTGATAGCTTGAATAAAAGTATTTTCTTTCTCCGGATCCCATGGCTTTATCATTTCTAGATCAGTTGTAGAAACATTTGTTTTCATTTCGTTTATTAATTCGTGTTTATTTATACTTAAAACAAGGGGGTTATGTACGTCGGAGTACAGTGAACTATGCTCCAAAACTTGCATGTTTTCTATATAATTCCAAAAGCCGTAGTTACATATAAAATAATCTACAGTACTTGTACTTTTACATGTTGGTTTTCCATTTATATTATCTCCAATTCGACCATTTACTATTAATAAATTGTTTGTCTTACAAAATTCTAATAACAATTTGCCATAGTAGTTTTGTATTTTATCAACATTATTACGCTCTACATGTTCTGATGTTAAATTAAATTCACTTTGTGATTCTTCAAAAATATCATTAAATTTGTCTGTGGTTTCGTATACAACAGGATGGATTTCAGATCCTGTTCCGGTCCTGGCATTAAAATCACCTGTTAAAATTAAGTGTTTGTCATTTTTTACCATGTTTTGTAGTTCAATTTCTAATAAACTAAATGCATCTTTACTGCTATATTTGGAGTTTTCTGGGGGAATATACACATTTCCAATTAAAATATTTTTATTTGTTTTTGAAATTTTTGTTGATAGTTCAAACCAAAGAACAAAATCGTTATCATTTTTGTGAATTACAATATTTTTACTGATTTCTTTCCTGTATGCCAATGCAATTCCCCCAGAACACTTTTTGCCTTGTTTACTTCTGTTTTTCAAATAAATTTCATAACCATCTAAATAAAGTGTGTCTAAATCGTCAGTTTTAGTTTCCTGAAAACATAGTATGTCATAATTTTCAATAAAGTTTTGGAATTCTGGATATTTTAGTTTTTGTTTGATGCCGCAACAGTTCAAAGATAGGATCTTTAGTTTGCCACCAGGCGGATAGTTCTCACAAGTGTCAACAGGGTCCCCTGCGTGCCCCTATTTCCATTCCGGTGATGATGCTACACGCCTTCTTTTGAAACCCTGGGCCCCCGGAGTTCGAACTGTCCCGTGTTTGTCTTGCACAGATCCTTTTGAGACGTTTACAAAGATAGGCTATAAAATGTTGTAAACATGAATGCCTATATTGAATAAACTTCCAGTAAATAAATAAATAATCTAAAGTGGTACACATACATATATGTATATGTTTCAACAAAGTGGATTCTTTATTTTGAATTGATTTCTATGCATTAGTATATATAATTATAATTAAATATATGTCTCATAAAATTATCATTTTCAAAGTGCTGCAAACTCGTTTCTGGAAAAATACACTGACAGAATTTTTAAAATTCTAATTAGAACTGTGCTTAAAGATCGAGTAAACATAATTTGAAAAAATCTTTCAGATTTAACGTTAAAACTAAAAAAAAGATATAGGATTGTTCAATCGTTTTTCCAAAAATGTGTACTAATTCATGAATCCAATTTTTGCTTTTAAGTGCCATTAAGGTTCTATTGCACGCTTTGTATAACAGTTAATGAGAACTACAAAATTGTACAAGTCATGTACACTTGGGGCAATGCTTATTTGTGCTGATTACTATTCAATTTATGTTATTAGCACCGCTTTTTAAAACCAATATTTATAGATGATTCGATGCATACCGGTCAGGAAACATTTATTTTGAATTCATTCTTATTTCTAATTTCAGAGTTTTGCATACCTTGTTCTAGAAAACATACATTGCTGCTATGAATTTCAAAAATCTAGTCTCAAACGTACAAACGGATCGTTACTGGAAAATTCTTTCAATGCGAAGGGAAAAAAACTAAGATGTTAAAAGAACCTTTGAAGTACATTCCATGGCCTACAATCCCTCTCCACTTAAATAAAAGACATCAATTTTTCAAATATAATTGATTTTCATTTGTTGTGACGCAATGCATCTCTTGTAATTAAGTTAAAATCTTTGTAGGTAGGCTTGTGTTTAAAAAAATCAAAAACAAAAAAAATAACCTCACCTACATCCTTGACAATCTTTCTTTTTTTGATAACCGATAAAGAAAATATTCAAAAGAAATAAATATTTTACAGTACTTTGGTCTTAAAGGCATGAGCTGCAATGTGAAACCGCAAAACTAATTATTTTGACTGTTAATCGTATTTTATGACTTACATAATTACACAATTTCCTTGTCAAAGATCCTACGGATAAAGTAAGTGTCTATACTGAGCCGACAAATTGAGATAATACACCATACTTTAATATAACATAACATAATTAATATTTAACATAATTCAATAAAATATGTTCAAAACAAACAAACAAACACCATACTTATTAGCTTTTCATTAAATAAACTCTGTCTATAATCCTAATTTTCTCTATAACAGTACACTGAGTCTTTTTTAACAGAAAGTAAATATTCATTTCGTTATTCATTAAAGAAAATAAACTACATTATGGAAAGCAACTTATTTTACACAATCTAAATCCGTAGTATCTTTCGATCATCAGACTGGATATATAACTTATGCTAACTTTTAGAAGAAGAACGGAATTCCAAAATTTGGTCCACTCGATTTTTTTCTCGACATTTACTTGTTCAATTCATTGCATTACAAGCAAATCATTCAATTTTGCTTTGACTGGGCTATTTTCAAACATTTTGTGGGCATTTCTAGGCTATTTCCAAACACTTTGTGGGTATGTTTCTTTGATAATACATTCTTCATGGTTACATTTCTATATATGTATATAAAATTAAAAAAGGAAGACCATTATATCAAACATGCATGATTTAATCATTTTTTGTGAAAACCTGATGCTTACATTTCTACAAAGGAGCAATGACAACGAAACCATTTTTAATTCATTTCTGAAAAAAAGAAGAATCAAGATCTCCTCATCCTAGTAATCATTTGTGTTGTTTTGAAAGAGTATTCGTGACCATGTCAGGAACCACAGTTTGTTCCAGTCAGTTAATGTTTTGAACATCATTTTGAGTAATTAATTGTTGTAAAGGAAAAGACTTTCTAAGTTTTAAGAACTTGCGATTGATCCTTTTATTTTAACATCTGAACAATAAAATACATGTATGTTGAAATCAAACCATTTTTGCCCATTAAACCGCCTATTTTCTGTTCATGTTTTAATTCTTTGTAGTTTTGATGACTAAAACGTGAAAAATTTTTATTCATGTCTACGAAAATTCTCAAGCAGTGATTTTTTTAATGTATACCTAAAAAATATGCTCGCTAACTCGTACGTTTTTTTTTTTCAGTTTTGTTTTAATTAACGGATATATCCAATTGAAATACAAAAATTGAAAAAGTTTTATTCAATTTATCTAGCACAATGGTACATACATCCTGTTTTGTGTCAAATAACGGATATATCGAATTGAAAGACCAAAATTGAAAAGTTTTATTCAATTTATCTAGCAAAATGCTACATACATTCTTAAAACTGAAATATAACTGTTCACTAAGGAACCAAATACAGAATTATGTACAAAATATTGAGAAAGCTGACGACTTGGAGAACACTATTCCCCCCACTTGTCAGTCCCGCAACACAAAAATCGTACTTTGACTTGGATGAGTGTACGAAATTACAGTGCATGATTGCATGACAAGATCGATCACATTCGCCTATAGAAGAATGATCCGCACTCAAAAAGCGCCACCTATAAAACTTCTTAAATTCTTCTCCATCTGGATCTGCCATCCGTTTGATAAAACGATCAATAGAACCAGGAGTAATATCTGGAATAGACATGTCTGTTGTGGCTGTGTATTCCGTTTTCCATACGGGGTTTTGCAAACGATTGCTTTCCGGAAGATCCATGTAGTATTGAATCAGATCTAAATATCTGCCTGTTGATTGGTCGTATTTAATCATGCGGAATCCAGGGTTGTGAGCTTTTCCAGTTACTCCTGGTATCTTGAATCTCCATGGTGTAACGGAAGGTGCCATAAAAAGGGAAAGTACGGGTTTATCTGAAAATTTAAAATTGTCAAACATTTAAATATGTGCACGTCATTATGGGTTAAAACTATTTTATTTTACTTACCTGAAGGTAATGACAAATGTGAATATTGACACTTTTATAAAAGACAATAAAAGGAAAAAAAGACAGCTGTAAGTAACAAGTGCCCATCAACACACGCAACAGTCAATGATATTTACCTTTCTCGTCGTAAAATACCCGTAAATTGTCATTATGTTCATGACCAAAGTGCAGTCCTGTGATAACATCACTGTATTTGAGCAGGATATTATTAAACTTTTTATGGAATTCCTCATACATCCATCGTGTTCCAAGAGGTGGGGCCATTCCTGGGGGTACATGACCTGTCACTAACACCTGATTATAAAGATAATTTTACATGTGTAAAGCTGATTTAGAGCAGTCTTCATTTAAAATACATTAAAATGTTACTGTATTACAAGTAACCTTTTATCTTCATCACAAAACTTTAAAAATCTTACAAAAAGAGGATATTTTCAAGAAAGTCTTTTTTCACGATTATTTCAAAACCTAAACACATTCAAAATATATTCCCATGATGATACTTTATCATTTTGAACTTTAACTTCCGTCTGATTTCCAAAGGATATTGAATTAAAGGCTAAACACTTTCTATAACTACAGCTTACAAAGTACATGTATACCTTTTCATTGTTTGCCCGGGAGGTATTGAGAACTTCTTCCATCCAGGCGAACTGATCAGCAGGGTCTGGAATACCAGCTGTGATTTTGTCAGAGGTGTAGTATAAATTCGTGTTTAGAGCCAGGATCCGTATTCCCGAGGAAGCCTTAACTGTATAGTAGGCACCTAAAAATCATTCTTCTATGTATTTATTAAGATAAAGAAATTATGGTTTTCAAAACCTTAAAATGAAGACATCTTTAAAAACAATTTATATTTCTGATGATAAATATCGTCCGATGTCATCATTGCAATGATGATCAAATTCACTTATCATACATGTTATGAAAAAATACCTCACTTATCTATGAAAATTAACAAGGTTTTACTGGTAAAAAAAATACATACCTACCTGTATGTCTTTAACTCTCTTAAATTCAAAGTCATGAAACAGTTTACCTTTCCTGAAATTATCCTCCTGTTGTACGTCGTTGATCCAACTTTTCCATTGTGCTAGTGTACGATTATAGAGTTCGTTATTATGTGGCGGAAATTGGTTGTGTGGATAGTAGTCATGGTTACCATACGTTGCATACACCGGAACTGTCGGAAAGGAGTTCTGCAGTAAATCTGTCAGGTTTCCAAGGATCTGGTCATGAATGTCCAAATTTACTTTGTCATTCCCAACATGCAAGACATTATCGCTGAAAAAAGTTTAATTTAAAAGTTGACTGGTTAAAAAGGATACTACATTTTGTACATGTATAAGGAAAATGAAGGTACAAAATATTTTATATAAAACATGCTTGAAATAAAATTCCAAGTGTTCTCACTAGGGACCGTTGTCAAGTTTTTCTTCAAATATTGATTATAGTGTTATTAATCTCATGTTAAAAGTATGTCTGATAATAAAATGAATTGATACATTTGCCAATTATACACCGAGTAAGAAATAATACCCAGTCCATAGTATAAAATCTGCTTGTCCTTCTTTAGTTGCATTTTTCATTGCTTCCACAGCGGATTTTATAAGCGTCCACGGAGAGTCGCACCAGTAATCACCATACAGACCATGATTGTTGACGTTATCATTGCATGACCAATCCTGCGTGCCGTAGGTATAATCCCAGTGGAAATCGGTTACGTGCAAAAACCAACCTGGATATAAATTTGCATTTCTTTTTTATATATTTTAGTGATCGTTTATTATTCATAAATAGAACTCTTACTTTTAAATGTTTTGCCATATTTTCAGAAATGCTATTTACCCAAATTTAAACCTGTTACCACGACAAAAACAATATACATATATATATGTATCTGTCTTTCGTGTCGGAGTAAATGAAGTGCTTCTCTTTCTTAAATGATGATACATTTCTTAACTCCTCTTTTGATTTAGAAAATATGGCTTTTAAGTGCTGTGCGTTAATGTCAATACCAAATAATTATGATGCTAATAGGTATCCATATTATGTATAAAAAAAATCCAAATACTATATATATATATATATATACTGTACCAACCAATTATTTTTTGAAAAGAACTCGGCATATAAAACGATGACAAATGAGATTCTCATAAAACTAGATACAAACCTTCATTTGCATACACTGTTGTTTCCTTAGATAATAAAAGGAATATGCAAAGGTAAAAAGCGCCTTCCGCCTTCATCTCAGAATGATTTTGATAAACCTGTTTGTCTTCTTCAGAGAGGCACACGAAGGTAAAGAATTCATAAATTTTTCTTCTGCTCGAGCCCGTGTTTGTTTTGATTTAGTGTGTGTGTGTGTTTATGGAACGGAGGAATTGTATTGTACTGTCAATACAGATTGATATGGTAGTGGGTAACGGACAGCATCGTGTTTGGTAGAAAGACATTTGTGTCCAATGGGTGTAAAGGTCGTGTACCTTGATAAATTTGCAATGTTCAGTTAGTGGAAAGTATCGAAATATGTATTTAGACAGTCGGAATCACACCCCATTTTATTCGCCTTTTCCAAGTGTGCCACTACTTCCATTTTATTACAATATTATGTGCAGCTGATAAAAAGATTCAAAGCATAAAGTATTGTCTGTGTACATAGTCAACATTAGCGATGCACTTACATCTTTTTAATAAAAAAAAAAGATCTTTGCATCTACTCACTCAAAAGGACATGTGGCGTTTATCATAGTTATGCATAATTTATTCATCAAAAAGAATGCATCAATAGTTATATAGTAAGGTAATATGCAGCAGCAGCATTGGAAATAACAATCGAGTATTTGACACATTTAGTCCTTGATTTGTCTTTTGAAGATCCATATTATGTAAAAGTACTTGAAATTAAGTTTGTTTTGAGAAAAAAGTATATAATACGCCCATTGTCTTTAAAATAAGGATCTCCAAAAATACAAACTTAAACGGATCTATACATAAATAAAACAAGAAATTACCTTCATGCTCGTTTAAGTATATGTCAAGTTAAATCATTTTTTTTAATGTAAATAAAACAAGAAATTACCTTCATGCTCGTTTACTAGTATATGACAAGTTAAATCATTTTTCCCACGTTTAGTTTAATTAAGTTGATTAAAACAAACAAAACAAGGGAAAAAGGGAGATAAATGCGCATATACATGTATTATAGCCTGGCAGGCAACTTCAAAGATACAACATTGTAAAATTCCTTTGTATATTTTCAGGCATTTCTAGACCCAAACATATATTTAAAAATCAAGCTATTAGACTTTGATAATGACCCGTTCGAAATCGGATTTTTCCTGGAAACATCATTTCTCATTTACGAATTACTAGATTTCTTTGTATGGGAATGGTATTATACGTTATCAATTACAAGTAAATGGTAAATTTTTCATGTTAAGAGAGTGCAACACCATAATTTTTTTAGTAATTTTATATAACACTATATTCTATTCCGCATGATTGATGAAATGTATACGTATTTTAAAGGATTTTTTTTCTTCAGCTCAGATATCATTTCATTTCATATTTTATAGGCACATCGAGAGACATTTATAAACTGCTATCATGAAAACCGTGAAAAATGGCTAATTTGATTAAATTTGTTTAAAAAAATATCAAAGTTAAAATTTCAATAGATACAAATTAAACTAAATGCTTGTTGATTATAAGCTTAACTCTATTTTCATTCCAAGTTATAATCGATATATGCGAAGTTCAGTAGTTTCTTTTCAACTTTTCTGACTCTCCCAGTGATAATTAATGAATTAAATAACTTTCTTACAAGCATGGTAGCATGCATTATGAGTTGTAACCTCATTTTCATGTGAGAATTTTAACTGGTTTTATGTACAGAAATTTTATCAAAACTTATCAAAACTATCAAATACAAGGTCGTTATTAATTTTTAATGATAACAGAGAGCGATCATATTCTAACTATGCAACACCAATCATACATCGTAATTTCCATCTATACATGTATATATGAACATGCATATTATATTTCAGGTCGGCAATGAAAATTTTTTTATAGATTTTTTTCTGGCGGCCAGTCATTGATGCATATTTGATAGTGTGCATATTTAATTGATAAATCAAGAGAGACATTCAGCCTCAGTAAACTGCACTAGGCTAATAAAAGATAATAAATAAATTAATAAGAGAAAATCAACGAGGAAAATACCAAATAAAAACATCTACTAAATCGTAGTAAATTCAGTTATGAAAATATCAGTTGCCAAACAATTTGTATGAAAGACGTCAGTCAACATTCTGCCAACAGATTGTATTTGCAAACAGGGTCATTGTATCGACCATAGAATTTGTTGACCTTAAAATGTTGACTTTAAATGAGATTGGAGATAACATGTACATGTATCATCAACTTATATGTTGGAAGTCTGCCTCGTTTTAGAAATTGTACGAAAAACATGCTCTAGCGAATTGAATCAACTGGGAGACATAAATTTTAGAATTTATTATTTAATAATTTAATAAAATATTGCTGCTCAAATAAGAGACTTCCTTTCGTGTAGAAGTTTTTGAATAAATTCTGTTTCATAAGAATACATAACAGGAACAAGTCTGTTAGTAATTGGGCACATTTAATACCCATGAGAATTCCATAATATTTTCAGAAAAAATCTGGTTACCAAAGATTGCATAGATATTGTCAATAAGAAGCTCAAGTATCTTTTTAATATCAACTTCAGAGTACTTGTGCTTAGAACCAGAATAGTTTATAAAAAAGTAAGTTTTAAGGAAACCAGTGACAAGATAGGAACATTTGAAAGTCCCATTCTTATTAAAGAATTAGTCTTCGTTGATGTCAATAAGCCTGGTCTTTAATTTATCCTGGGGTGGTTGAATAAAATGTTGAGAAGTCGTACATTTTGATGCTATTGATTTTGATAACATTTTGTGATTTTAAATTTTTCTTAAAGTTTTTTTTTTGAAGTTTTAAAATATCCACATTTGATTACAACACCTCTTGAATATTTTGTTTCGTGTATTGCTGAAGTTTCTCCTTCTTGCTTTTAAAATTTTCGTGAGGAGTAAAGAAAGAAGCTTGCTAGAACATTTGATAGATCCCGTTGTGTATCTTTGTAAGGATTTTTTTTGTTGAAGTTTTGAAATCGAATATACCTATGGTAATTCAAAATTAATATGGCTTTTTGTAATATTAAACATATCTAAAACCAATAAGTGATTTTTGAAGAATCTCTTCCTTAGAAGGGGAACTACAAGTATAGTTGAATTACCACTTTTAGAATAAAATCTAAGTCCCTTTAAAATGCAACAATAATGAGCCTTATGGGCTATCCAATCACAATTAAATACTGTATGTGTACTTAAGAAAGCGGGCTTCATATATTAGCGGCTTTGGCGCGGAAAAAAATACGCTAATTCATGAATACCGTTAATAAATCATTTATAAATACAATACGCGGTGCGGAAGTGTGTAGCGCTAATTCATGATAACGCCAACCACGTAATTCCAGGTGATTGCGCCAAATTTTGAATACGTCAATTTATGTACATGTGCAGTATACAGTCCAGGAATCAAACGCCATATCATATCCCCTTTGTCGTTACCTAAAACATATCTCTCTAAAAATACTTGTATATGTAGGACCTGAATAAAATACTCACGTTGTACTGTTATAGGTTTAGGCAAAAACCAGACACATTTTGTCTTCTTACTACTAACTTCATCAAACTCTTCCACGTTTTGATAATTATTTCTTCAGAATAATCTTCTTTCCTAATGCTACTAGACACAATTAGTTTAGCAAACATGTATGCCCTGGAATAATAAGCAATGTAGAAAGTAGTCTAGGTTTCCGAAACCGGTTAAATTATCAGTAATAAAGAATGTTAAATTCTGCATGTAATATCAATAGAGTATATAATTATTGTCTTTTTGACAAGAGTCTGATCATAAATACATGTTATAAAGATTAATGCATAATGTACTAGTATTATGGAAGTTGTACAAGTATTGCAAGGCTAAGATGCCAGGGAAGTTCTTGTTATTAATTTACATAAAACACAGTCAAACTCTTTGACATTGAGATATTTAATGTGCAAAATACTCACAGGCAATAAGAGGACCTTCAGAGATCACATATCCTTCGCCAATCTTGATAATCAAAGTATACATCTGCAAGTTTTCTCTCTTTTCCTCTTAAAGTGTGGTCTTCATAATATACTGTACGTGTACATAAATTGGCGTATGCAAAATTTAGCGCAATCACTGAGTATAGAATTGTTGGCGAAATCATGAATTAGCGCTATACATGTCAGTGCCGTATATTGTATTTATAAATGATTTCTTAGCGGTATTCATGAATTAGCGCATCGTTGTCTGCGCCAAAGCCGCTAAAATAAGAAGCCCGCTTTTTTTAAGTACACATACAGTAATTGAAAACATTGACCACGCAACAAAAGCACATCTTCCTTCTTTTAGAGGAAAAACTGGGGGATTCTTTTAATTGAATTCTGCTTTAAGTTGAATTTTCAATTCTTTTGAAAAAGAGGTCAGATATAGAAATTGAAAAGCATGGGTTAAAGCACAATCTCCTTCCAACTTCGTAAAAGAAGGTTATTAAAGAGTTTGAAATGAGTTATACTCAGTTGCATTCAATAATCATCTCACAAACGTACGTGTAAGAATCAAAGTACATTATGTGAATTACGAACGTGTCATATACTGACAGAATTTAGAACTATGAAATAAATAACAATGTTTAAAAAGTTTGGAAATTATCTTGGTTGCTAATGTGATTATATTTGGGGCTTAAATTATCATAGGAGCAAAATTCTCTGTCTTCATTTGTAAGAAAATTTTTTATCGTCACTAAAAACGTACACTATACACGTATAGCAGTCAATGCCATCAGTATAGGATGATGAGCTTCATGTAGTAATTCAACATTCAATCAGAATGATAGTATATGGTTTGATTTTAACTCAAAAATCTTTCTCTCTTTTCGGGATAAATAACAAAAAGTGCCTGAACTCTCTAGGTACAGATTGAGAAAATCGTCATGCCTAAAGGAAACTTAAAGTTAAGGCACAAACATCAGATGACATTCATTTTATCACTTCAAGGACAAAACCATGCTTTGAAAAAAAATATTTGAAATACACTGTGATGTGTTTAAACGAACGACGTGGTAATTATAAGCTTTGCGACTTTTCTTATCGCATACACTGTATATGAAC